ATGTTGTCCTTCCATTTATACTTTATCGCGTGTGTAAAGTACAATACAAAACTGTTTACACTGTTTACTCGAAGTTTATTTTTTTTTACTCATCTGCGAAGTATTTAAAAGAGAAGGTTACTCGAGGAAACATAAATATTATAATTTATGATAAAAGTATGATAAAAATATGTAAGAATATTACAGATTAAATGTTGATTTAAATGAAAATAATGAGGATAATATACCGAAATGTAGGAATTCTAATTTATTGTACAGTATTCGTGGTCCGCGATCTATAATTCAATTACTACCTACTTATATTTGTCGAAATACACTGTTTGTCATGCGGTCGTCTAAAATTTGTACAACTGCCATAATGAAAGAAATTACAAATTCAATTATTTGTTTGGCCTTAAACAAACTTTTCGCGAATGCGAAACAGTATATGTATGAAGTCCTGTTAATAATTTAATCACCTGTTGAGCCATACTACCTGGTGCCACACTTTCGATTGTCATAATAGTTTCACCAATGATATCTATATTTCAACAGTATATTATTTATTCACATCGTGATCTTTGTGCATTATCAAATATTAAATATTAGGAAAATTATATTCTGGACTTTCAGAATAATATTGACTCTTTTATTGTAACGTTTAGGTCCTTTGGGTTAGGTCTGTGTTTATAAAAGTGAAACTTATAGAGAAAGTTACAAAAATAATAAAAAATACATAAAAGGAACCTACATTGTACATTATATTCATGAACATGCAATAGTATTTCAACATTACATTATTTTATACATTACACTGCATTAATTCGATATTCATGAATATTATACAAATAAAAAGATACAGGTACTATACGATCAATGATATCAATATTCTTTTAAGTAATCTAATTGTGACGATAAAATTAACATTGCTGAAGCAATAATATGAAATATCAAGTGTCAAAGCAATCAAAGTAAATATTATGAAAGCGTCAATCTGAATTTTATCAAAACGGTAATATATATATTTTCAAAACAATAGAATTAATACCACTTTGTGGACGCAATATTGAAAAGCGATCATTTGCACAAGAATTCAATATTGCGCTGGCCAAATATTTCCAATTTCATGATTTGAAGCGACACGAATAGTAAAAAAAGTTTACGAGAGACCTGAGGTAGTATTGTGATATGCTGCCTACGCTCATCTCAATATAAAGTGACGAAGCCTCAATAATATCAAACACTTTGATTCTCTTACTATATTGCATGAATCTACAACATGAAATCTGAGTTGTGAATATTGTTTTCGATATTCGATTATTAACTTTTCCCATACATGTGGGTACATCAAATGAAACTTTCAAAATAATAAGAAACAATGAGATCGAAATACTTAATATTTCCTAAAGTAATTGAATTAATCTCACGTTGTTCCATTGTGCGAGAATTATTTAGACTCCGGACATAAACGGTTTTTCAAAGAGAGCGTTAATATTTTGTTTCGGATTGGAGCACGAATGCTATGGAAATGATTACAATTAAACGTAAATATGACGTCGTTTAAGCACCACAGAAGCACTAAAACTAAATCGATATGGGACAATCATAATAAAAAATGGCAAAGTCCTTTCTTTTTTTCATGAAGTCTATAAGATAATTAATTAATTAATTTCAATGTCAGTGTCAGTAATTAGGAGGGTATTAAGATTAGGGTGATTTACCCAAGTAGTGAATATGATTTTGGATTCATAACCCTCTCACGTTTAAGTAAACAAATCCGTTTTGTACTATGAAAGCAAAGCCCATTTATATCGACAAATGTAGGATTTTACAAAAGGGGAATATTTCCTTGTTTAATAATAAAATACACCCGTCAAATATTTGACATTGAAAATTAAAAAAATTATTCATATTCCATACGATTTGTGTTTTGTTAGAAAACAAAATTTAAAGGCCTTTTGTGAAAAAAGCTTAATGAATAATTTTACTGGGAATCCAATATGTGGAGATAATAAATGACCCATCTACTCTACATAGCAGAGACAAACAGAACGAGGAGCAGACAAATCATACGACGTGAGGAGTGCTGCTCAAGGATATTCTTGGAAGGTTGGAACACACCTCTCGATGGCTTCTTAGAACTTCACAATCAAGTTTTGCAACTGCGTCTTACTGTCGACTTCTCAAACTTGCGGGAGTCACTCGACTATCAAGCATCCTCTTGAAAAGCAGAAACCAAAGTCACATGCGACACGAAATCCGCGCAGCGAGCCTAGGAGTTCTATTACGCGTTCCACGATGTTCCGATAAAACCGCAACGTGCATTCGCACCCTGTGAGCAGGCACCAACGTTACCGCATATCGTCGCGAACCGCAACCTGTGAACGCTACTTTGGAACTTTTCCCGGTGCCAAATAATTCTGAAACGAAATTACAGACAGACACACGTTTCCATCCAAATGGCTGAATTTCGCCGTCCATGCGTTATACGTATCCATGCAGATAAAACTGGTGCACGTCAAGAAATAAAACGGATGTGCGCAAAACCAAATTAATTCCAATATACTCTTTCATCGCCTAACTAACTAGACATTAATATTCGGTGAATGCTGGAAACGAAACGGAAGATTAAAATGTCGGTTTTGTTCCGGATTCTGAAATTCTGTAATATTAAATGCAGGACGTGGAAATTTTTGTTTGAATCTTCTTTTTTTTTTTGTAGTAGCTCCTCCAATTTTAAATATTAATGAATAAGGTTTGATAGAATCTTAAGAAATAAAAAGAGTGTTATATATTTAGTGTCAATAATTTAACAATGCGCCTTTTAAAGTACTAAAAAAGAAATCGAAAATTATAAATTCGATTTTGTTTCATGTCTAATAATTATATTGAATATGGGATATGGTAATTTCTCTTTGTGTTGTTTATGTAAAATTCAATTTAAAATTTGTATGAAGTTTTTATATTAGAATATTAGAAAATAAGAAAGATGTTATGTCTTTAATGCCAACAGCGAACAATACACCCTTTTGTTCTCTAAGTAATGAGACATTAATACTCACGGAGTGCTGAAAATGAAACAGGAAATTAAAAATTCAGTTTTGTTCCAAGTCACATACTTACATTTAATGGAAAGTGAAAAGAATTTTATAACATTGGTGGCAAATAGTATAAAATGGTTCGGAAAAAATGAAATTGAATAGTAATAGTATAATAAAGTAATTTTCTCCCTCGCGGGAAAACCAATTAACTAAAATATGAAATAATTCAAAGCACTAGATTTCCTCTGCCGTGGATTGCATCCAAACACCTCTGGATTAATTAAATATTGACGTTATTACACGATTGCGTGTGTGCTAATAATAAGTTTACTCGCCTCAATTATTCAAGGAACACGTACTGATTTAATTAGCCCATCTCTATCGATTCAGCGTTTAATTCTTTTATACGGTTGCAATTGAAACGAAGATTAACAGAAAGCCAATTAAATGGTTTCCTTCCTTTCATGCTGGAAAAATTCTGCTTCTACGACACCAAATGCTGAAACCACAAATGGCGGTCGATATCGAGTAGCTCGAGTTCGAATCTTAATTGAGAGGAGTACTTTATTCAATGAAAACTATAGAGGCTTTAAATGGGCACTTTAATTGTATTTACTCAGGTTGTTTAACCCGTAGATAGTGGTTGGGTCAATTTGGACCCTGAAACTGATCTTCCAACTGTATATATTCAGAACTCGTAGACATTATCATTTTATTTAACTACATACATTACTTTTAAACTAACTTGGTATTTAGATTTGCTTTATATAAAGTATCGATGTAATAAATAATATCACATTAGTGCACATATTATAGAAAGAAATACATCTCCAAAATTGCATAGCTAGTGTGCCTAAAAGATTTCAGTAAAACGTAGTCCGCAGTCCGTTGAACCGTTCTCCAGCAGAACTTCAGAGACTCGAATCGAAATACCATGGAGTCCTCGATGTTAGTTTTCAGTGTACGTCAATTCCGTGGTCCTTTCTTTTGTCTCGAATCGACTTCTGGCGCAGTTGAATCGAAAGATTCGACCATGCCAGTCTGGGTTTCGATAATCCTCGCGGGATAAGAGTCCCTAGGTTAAGTGCGGAACGGGCGGGAGGGGTGGGCACTGCCAGATAAAAAGTCGCGACCCGAGGAGCCTCTGGGTCGGCTCACCCGTGGCGAGTTCACGGATTACGCTAATAGGAACCCCATGGAATTTATATCTGCGCCGGATTAAAAGTTCAATTTCTGTTCGTTGCACCGGCAAGACCGAAACGTCGATTCAATTACGATTAAAGGATTAACAAGATGCGTGAGGCGGCACGGTACCTTTCTTTGTATCACTCTTTTCGCCCAGCCTACCCTCCTTCTTGCTTGAAAGGTGAAATGTAGCTCCTCGAGAATCCTCCAGCATTGCCGAGTCGGCTAACTCAAGAGGGCATGAGAATCCAACGAGGCTTTGACACTTGACTATCTTCAAGAACCTTTCGCGGAGTTTTGCATGTTTCGGTGTAAATTTTCGTCGGAATTCTCGCTTAATGATACGATTCGCTTTGTTTTATTGTTTACCCGCCGACGCCGCGTACACTTTCCCCCTTTTCTTTGATCGCATTCCTGTGTAGGTGTTCAGATATTGCGAAGAGGGTTGAGGATTTTTGTCAGCTGAAGACACACGAAAAACTAAAGTTTCAGTAAATTTTCTCTTTGTTAGAGAATCCGTTAAGATTCCTACCTCTTCGTATGAAATTTAACTCACTGCGTGAATTTTAAGATGTGTTAATACTTTAAGCAAACGAACGTTATCTCTTCCTTTTTTATTCATGTACTCTTAATTTATATAATTTAATATGTATATAATATTTATATGCGCACTCGTTTTTCTACCGAGAAATTTTCGAATTTCCGGTAACGCGTCATGAATTCGTAACGTTATTTTATCCTCCAGTGTCACGCGCAATTCATAAATTTTAACCAGACCGAACCTTTCTGTTGCAGAGTTTCAGAAACGACTGATACCGTCTTGACGAGCTACGAACTACGAACTATAAACTTCCAAGTGAGATCCTTGACGAAGCAACCCCGCGAACAACTCATGAAAGATACGGCAATTAATGTGTTCATGATAAATGGAGATTGTTCTCTGCCTTTTGTGCGTAAAACAGTATTTGAAAAATTACAGACCAGCATTCTATCGTTAAAAAAAGAAGCTTAATTCCAATGACAACTGCATCAACCTTATCATAAAGTTTTCTATTTTCATTTCGGTATTAATATATTAATCTTGAATCCTTTGAGAGCCAACACAAAAGCGTTGTCAGCGACTTCATCGATACAGCGATAAATTACAGTCGCCAAAACGATCGTGTGTCAAGAGACTACCGAGAGCGGCTTGTCCTCGAGTGGTTCGTTTAAGATCCTTGGTCCTGGAATCCTTCATCAACCATTCAAGGAGCTGCTAAGCTCGAAAGCCTATTCTTTATCAGCAGTTGCGCCCACCCTCGCGGATCTTCGTGGTATCAGGCGTATCCTGACAAAGAAAAAGAAGGGCGAATAAAAAGAGAACGAAATTCCAGCTAGCGCGTTCTCGAATGGCAGACTCTGTCGGAAATAAGTTGTTGCTGTTACTTTCGGTGCATTATCGATGAAAACCGCTAAAGGGTGAATCCAGCCTCGATCAGTTTCCAATATCGACTTCGTTTCCAAACTTTTCTCCATAACTTTGAAAATAACGGCGCAAGAAAGGAGTTGGGAAGAAAGCAGAGAGCAATAATTTGTCTTTCCATCGGTGCCAGACGGAGGCTTTATTAATCGTTTGAACCCGCGGTTGTCAAGTGTGGAATTAGAAACTTCATCGTCGAATATTTCTGAGTGAAAGCGTTCTTAGGAAGTTTCCGAGCGATGAAGATATTACACGTGCCCCGTTGTTGGTCGTTTCTAAAGCACAACGCTGTGATTTCAACACTCGTATCTACTTAATCGTGATAACTTATCCGGGGACAAAGAACAAGATCCATTGATGCCAAGTTCCAGGCAGAGCTGCGCGCATTTGAAGTGAGGGGCTTCTTCGATAGAGTTATAAACTGTTACTGAAAAGAATGACAAGTGGCAAATATAACTGTAATTAAATCCAAACGTTCTGTAAATAAAAATATGAAGTACAGAAGGCTCTAGAATTAAATGCGAAAGCTGTAGAATTAACTACGAAGAATCTGGGAACAGAAGAAAGATGCGGTTTCTTCAGTAGAGTTATAAACTGTTACTGAAAGGAATGACAAGCAAGAAATATAACTATAATTAAATTCAAACGTTCTGTGAATAAAAGTATGAAATACAAAAGGTTCTAGAATTAAATGCAACAACTTTAGAATTAACTACAAAGAGTCTGGTATCACTCGTGTGAAATACAAAAGGTATCTGGAATTAAATACAAAGATTCTCCAATTGCGTAATCGTTGATCTCAGGAGGAAGCTGTGTTACTTTCAAAAGCCTTCGAGAGCCTGGAACGAAAGCCATAAGGGAGTAAGATAAACTACTTCTTACTATTGCTGGGATGCCCCCATGACAAGAGGGAGGCACGTGGTGATGTCTTGTTGTTGCTGGTGCTGCGACGAGCTTGGCGGTGCCAGTTCTTCAAGTGCTGGTGCTGGAGGTGTTGTTACTGGTGCAGCTGGAGGCAGTGTTGTCGTTGGCAGTGACCCCAATAACGCCGGCGGTGGTGGTCTCGGTATCGCTTCCGGTCTTTCTGCGATGCTGTCGTTGGTAGTTGTCACCGTTGCCATCACGACGGGAGAGTGGCTTCTCACGGAAGAGAGACTACCCAAAACCTCCTCGAACACTTCTGTGGAACCCGACTGCAAAGTCACCTACAGCGGCCTGTGGAGGGTCTGCGTTGCCATAAGTACGTAATTTCTCGTTCAACTTGAGTAGTTACAAACTGTATGTCAACTTTTCTACTGCTCAGTGCATTATGTCTCAGTTTATTTTAACGAAGATGGTTTATTTTAAATATTCCACTTGCTTTTCTACTTCCCACTGTATATTGTTGTGTCCCGCTCACCTGATTTCATTCTGCTAGAAAAACGAAAAAAGAGTATAAACGTTTTTAATTTAAATTCGGCTTAAACTTTGTCGTATCAAGAATTATTGCGTTTACGAGGAAACAAATATTTAATGCTACGTGTATGATAATTCAGAATGATGATTATATTCATGCTTAAATTGTATGAAGTTTATTGTTAAATCAATATGATACAGAAGACGTGTGTTATATGTAAGTGTTTATATGAATTTAGAAAATTAACATTGTGCCATGTTTGCTTATGTAATATTAAGCTCGACACGATTGCAAAAGTTATTATTGAAGACGTGTGTATATGAAAATATTAGGGGTTAAATTTAGTAAATATTAATTAACCGAATACTTAAATAATACAGTTAACTTGTACACGTACAAGTTTGTCTATGAATATTATCTCCAGTGATTGCAAACCATCGAAATAAACCGAAGAGATCGCACAAGAATACCAATTCCGATAAAACGGAAACGATAGAATCGAATGAATTATAGAAAAGTAGCTTTCATCGTCGATTTTCTGTCATGCTAGAAGATGACAAGCATACTTCCTTCCCTCGATCGCCTCGCCTTCCTCTCAAAGTCTTTTTAAGTTCACCCCAATGCTTCGAAAGGGAATTACCAAGCACTTTCCCGGATCCCGCGATCATGTAACAACCTATCCGCTTATACTGCTGCCATCGTGTTCGAAAAGTGATATCGAAATAGAAACGACAACGAGCACAATAACGGAAATTGAAAAACTCTTGGAGATACGGCGAACCGCGAAACGGGAAGATTGTTTGGGATCCTCGGCCGAAGTGCATCTAAGCACTTGAAGAAACAGAATCGCATCTAAGGAAATCTAATTCAACGTCGTCGTTCAAGCTTTTTGCAACGCCGTGGACCGCGTCAAAGAGTAAAAGCGACGATCACCTGCGCGTGTGTTCATGCTCATTGACCAAGACGAATCGCCACTTTGAGAACCAAAGGAGTTTCCCAGGGTTCGTACAATTATGGTCGAAATGCGATTAGAGGAAATTATTCTGGATAAAATCTCCTATGGCAGTCGCAGCTACACGACTTTTTACTCGATGAAAGGAGTCCTTATTACAAACCTTTGTTTCATTCAGGTTTGAGAATTTTGAGAACCAGAGAAGTCTCCCAATGTTGGTTAAAAGGTATTATTCGAATCGATAATATGAATAAAATATGATGATTTCATAATTAAAAATCGTTCAATTTGAAACCTGAATACTGTCGAGCTATAAATGTATATATTTATAAATTTTGCATGGCAGAACAATATTTTAAATTTATATTCAAAATTGTGAACCTGAAATTAGATTATTATTAATATGCAAGGGAAATCTGCATTATGTATTAAACTTTTAAATAGGTATAATATGTTCGTTAACGACTAATTGTACTTTAATGTTGCAATTGTTATTCCATAATTATTAGTAATAGTTAGTTTGAAAAATGCAGCTCAAGTTCAAAAAGAAGTTGAAAACTTGTTTCTTTTTAAAAAAATTGCAATTAGTTTGCTTCTTCAAAAGAAGCAAGAACAACTTAGCGCAAACGTCTGAAAAGTTTCCCCTAACACGTACTTCAAAAGAATTTAAGACCTCTCGGAAAGAACATTTAATCTTGCTAGTGAAAACCTAAAGGGAGACGTTAACTGTTCTAATTAACACCTCATGTAGGTCAAATAGCGATTTATTTTTATATGTAAATATAAATATAAATAATACTTGCAAATACAAGAGTAGTTGTAAATAAGTAACGGGATAACAAGAGTTAAATATTTCTCGTATATTGCATTAAATCGTGGATTGAAGTTTGTTGAAAACAGAATTTTATATGGAATAGAATAGAAATTAGTATAAAAATCTGCCTTCAAAATAAAGAAAATTATACATTATATTTACAAAATATAGACGATGTTTATACGATGTTTTATTTTTATAAAGAGACTCTTATGACCTAGGGTATTATAAAGTTAACCTTTCTTTATGAATTGTTTACCGAAGCACTATTGATGGAATTAACAGCTTATCTGTACCCAAAGAGCGATTATTTTTCACTACCTAATAGATAAATAATCTTAAAAACTTATCAAAACAACTTCCAAAGTATTTCAATGCCATAAACTCTGCTGATCTCTTGTTCTTTTTATTCAATTCGATATACAATAGATAACAAAATAAACGTTATCTCTATGATCATCAAGCATATTCGGCCAGAATGTTACATTCGAATCTCCATAGAATCGGCGTGTTTCATCAATATCGATGACACTTGTTACAAACAATATTATTTCCCAGGTCCATGATACGTTAACAATGGCTACAGCTTAATGAATACTGTCAAAACGAGTGGTTTTCGTTTACTTACTCGCTGCATCGATTCTCTGAGAAAGCTTCACACAGAACGTAACGTATCGAATACTTCATAAAAAGAATTTCACAGTTCAATGGTAAATGTTGACGAATAATACAGGGTTTTGTGTTATTGTCCTTTGAAAATTTACACAAAGGAAACGTAATTCATTTAAAACATTTGAAAGAAAATGGTGATCGGCCGTTAATATAAAAATAAAATATACAACAACAGAGAAACCATACTTGAAATACTGAATAAAAGTTTTAATTGTTATTCCTATATTTATTGATACCCAACTGGTTTGATCAAATTTTCAAGCCTTTAAATAATAAAGTCATTTGGCTTAAAATAATAAATCAAAGGTGTATTGAATTATTAATCGCATAATGGATGCGATAATGTAGAGTGAAATATTACTGTAATGCGATTGCCTTGCATTTATAATCAATTAAAATGCTAAAAACGGTAGACAAAAATACCATTAAATTTTCGTACTTTCACACTCCCTCGACGTGGAAGCTAACTTTTTGTTTGTGTCTCTCTTGGGTGTCACGTATTCCAAAGTTTTACCTGCTCACAAACATTCACAGTGTCCCTTGGACCCATTCTGATATTACTGTGCATGGCAGAATGTACACATTACTCCAACACTGTGAAATAGCAAACTGGTATGATGCATTTATATTGTAAAGCTGTCCATTAAGACTTAAAATTTCAATTTCTGTCAATATGCAATATTGCATATGAATATGCAATTTTGTCAATTTAATTTGATTCCCTTATATTTCATTCTATCTTAAAATAATTTTTTCTAATAAATAATCTCGAAGCAACTCGATTTATTAGTGGAATAAAATTATATCTGATTTCTTGAGGCAAAAACATGTCGAAAAATTTAATGTAATGATAAATATACTAATGTAATTAAAGTTTTAAATACATTTAAAATCTATTCAAAATAAGCTATAAATATATTTAAAACGTATTTAAAATATATATTTAAATACCAAGTTTTAATATGTATACATGTAAATGACTGTAATCTGTAATATCGGAAATAATTAATACGTCGATAGTATTAAAAATATTTAATATTCAAATGGAGAAATCTCTCCCACTGTGTACTGTAACGTTTATTGTGAATGCCGATTGGAGAATTCGATAAATTGAAATTGATTTTATTTTTAAATGTTGGTTACACTACTTTTACTTTTAAAATTAAAATGAATTAATAAAACATATCTCCGTGCAGTATCATCAAATATCATTCATTTAAAGTTCTCGATATTTTGTTTAAAGTCGTTTTCAGAATATAATTGCAATAATAATTTTCAATTTGTGATTGAAACAGAAATGAAAAGTATACAAAGGCTAAAATATGTACAGTAGGTGTAATAAGTATTCGTACAGGAACCATTTATTTTAATTGGGTTGCTGTACGAGTACTTCTTACACTGATTATAGCAATTATAAAAAGGCAAAAATAGAAAGAGGAAAAGTTGAAATCGTATAGAGCTAATGACAAGGCTAAGTATATTATCAAAATTTAGAATAAGTGTTCACAAAATACTCTTTTTCAAGCTACTCTGAAATCACAATTTTTACATCGGTCCAAAAGTGAGTGTGGACGGTTTGGGAATAAAATTTCCCTGGCTAATCAATATTCTTAAAAAGTAGGTTCCTCATTTCAACGTCTCCAGATATCCATTTCACAGTTCCGACTACTTTGCATACCCGTCTGTGAACTTTTCTCGAATACTTAACCGACAGGACTTACGAGATCCCCGGAGTAACATTATAACCAGACTTTAGTGCGTAGAACTCTTATGGCTGAACACGACCGTCTGTTTCTACTGGCACTTTGCACGCCCGTGCTTCCGAGTTCCATTGTACTTACGAAATTACAACTTAAACTACTTATTTGACACATCTAAAAATTGCCACTCTCTCAAAAGAGCTGGAAAATTTTTCTTTTCGAAATTCTTGTAATTACATAACTTAAGTGTTTCGTTTCATATTCCTCGCTTGATTTTCTTTTCATGCTTCTTTCTCTCCTTGATCGTTCATAGTTTGAGATTTATTATAGTTTATGCGTTACATATTCTTAATTTTTGCTAAATATTTTTAGGAAGTTTCCTTATTCCTTATCGTTGTCGGAAGAAACATGTAAAATACGAAGCTTAAGTAAGAAAATAGTAAGGGGAACAACTTAAACTACTTACTTGGCACATTTAAAATTTGCCACTCCCTTGACAGAGTTGAGAAGAGAAGGTAGAAAACTTTTATGTTAGAACTCCTGTCATTAACTGAAGTATTTCGTTCAATATTCTTCGTCTCATCATCATTTCATACTTTCTATAACTATTTGATCATTATTAGTTGGAGAATTGTTGCAGAGCCTGTGTTACTTTTCAATTGAGAATATCTAAAAAAAAGTTAATGCAAAGATAAAGTAAGAAATT